GGAATTGATTTCAAACTATTACTGTTTGTTTGGCAGGTAATTTGCATTAACTCATCACTCTTGGAAATTAGAAAATGTGTTCAGAACATACAATCATGTCAGGTGTGACAGGGACACCTAAAAATGGACCCTTAATTTCTGGAATTACCCATAACTCTCACATTTTACATTTATACAGATTTTTACAGATTCTGCAAATGATTCAATTTATTTCCTCTACAATGGCTCTGAAAATGTGCATTTTCCCTGTTTGTGAGCGGAGGTGGAGTCTCCATAATCACAGTATCAGAAAATGATTTCCACGATGGTTTTTAGAGTACTTTGTTTAGTGGTAAATAATTAAGAATGGATATTGTAAGGGCATAACATGTAACCTTCATTTATGATCAATGTGCCAGTTGACATGTGATTGACTTAGTTTTCCAGTCTTCAGCTTACAGAAACTCTCTGTGGACAGGAGAATGGGCATGATTGCACTGTGTCACCAATCAATTATCAGTCCACAGACTAGGCACAAGGAATAACTTCAAGATTGTTTAATCTTAAATGCAGTTACAATTTTTTTCTTCATTTTTGAACTTTCATCGATATGGGCATAACAAATAAAAAATATACAGGTATTGAAAATTAAACTTTGCGAAAATGCTTGAAGGAAAAGTACAATTGGTGCAAGTCTATTGTTATGGTGTCTGGGGACACACAGAAAGAAATCCATAAGGCCAGACGCCCCTTGACACCCTGAGCATAAACCTTAAGAGACTGGTCTGAAAAAGTGTTTTCTGAGTGAGTACCTCAATATTTTCCCTGCTCAATTTGACTTTTTATGACATTTCATTATTTTGAGATGGGTCATGGCAGGGAAAACTTAGTGGTGTCCATATTTCTTTATAGAATTCTTTCCAGGGAACACTTTACACATGCGAGCCTTTTTTGGCAACCTAAAATGAAAAATTTCTGATGCCTTGAAAATATAGTTACCACAATAACATGGAAATCGGAATTGAGTACACGAAGTAGGATAGATGAGTGGCAAAGCATTCTGTAATTGTGCCAAGTGCTTAGAATCCCCCCATCCTACTAAGAGAACTCTCAGTCACAACTACATGTGACTTACAGGAGTTGCTTTTTTCAAGGGGTCATAATACTGTGGGGTTTTTTAACAAGCTTTTGCAGTAACTGATAAAGCAAACTGTGCTTTTTCAACGGCCAAGCTTGCTTTGCATTTTGGTTCGACCATTTTTGGAGGTGGGGAATGGTATCTTGTTTTCACTGCATAACTGTCCTTGCTGTGTGACCTGTAAGCTGACACCATCAGGGTGTGCAACATGCCCTGCACTGTGCAGCTACATGTAGTTGTGACAGATTGTAAAATTTTAGAAATCCCTCCATACCTCCGAAAATAGTCAAACCAAAATGTGGAGCAAGCTTGGCCACTTGCTGGCTCGACACATGCACAATGTGATAAACAAAAATGGTACGAGTGTCCTCAGGTAGAAATGAGAGATTACCCAGTAAAAATCTCAAATTTTCATAAAATTCTTGGTCTCATGATCAGAAACTCCTGTATAACCATTTTTAAGAGCTATAGGTACATCACGGTTGCTATCATGGGAAAATTTATTGAAAAAAGTGGAGCTTGCATTACAGGATCACCACTGCAAAAGCTCAATTTAAAAAAAAACAAGTGTGAGTGGAACATAAAAAAAATTGCTGAAATCGCAAGTGCAGTTTTGCTGTTTTGCTATGATGTAATTGCCTAGTAAACACATGGCTTCTGGAGTGAACCCATGGGAAATTGTGTAAGACAAAATTGACTGGTTAGTGGTTACCACAAAAATGTTTGTCAAAATAAATATGTTTTAATTTGTGCATACATGGTTGTCACCAGGCCAAATCTAATATTTTGGCGAAGTGCAGCAAAGAACCTCTCGCGGGCATGGCCGAGGGCTCCTGGTGAGCTCCAACGCCCTGGTGGGGGTCAAGGGGGCAACCCCCCCCATAGTTCCAGGATTCTGGGGTTTTTGAGGGGGGAAAATCAGGTTTTTGAGCCATGTTATAAAGTGTAATTTATGTTTGTCAAATGTTGTATATAAGTTTTTAAACATGTGGTAATATAAGTTAAACAGTAACTGGCAGAACAAACAAGTAACATCTTACGCAAACATCTTATAGGAAATCAGTTATTTAGATTAATGAACAGAATTAAGAAAAATGAAAAGATGGTTGCTAAAGAACATTAAGCTTTTGTACCCTTACTTAAGGTGAGTTGTGCTGTCAAAAACAAAATGTGTTTAATGACCTTTGACTAGGCAAAGGCAGATCCATTCATCAAAAACTTTTGACTATCGGCACAAAAACATGAACACGTGCACGTATAGTATGACTGTCATCGTTTACCTCGTACACAGACTTCAACGTGAATTGTAAAGCATGCCTACAAGTTCTGAGAAAGAGAAAGTCAGTTGATACTACATGTAAAATCTGATGTACATTGTATCTACTCCTGCTGGAATAAGACTGTACAAGTACAGACATTTACATGTATTTGTGCAGCAGGGTTGTCACTGCTTGAAATATCGGTGCACTCTGGAGCTCAGCTTTAGTGTATAGGTACATGTACACACCACATCCATCGTGCATGTGTTTGTACGTATGTGTACAGTACAGGGAATACTGCATGCGAAACCAGCCTCAAGTGTTGGAATATGGGGTTGTTCATTTCGATTGGTGCATAATTTTAAGCTTGCTTTGGTGTTTTGCAGTTCAAAACACACAATATCTTATAATTGCTGAAGATAGGATCAAACATGAGAACTTTTTAGATTGTTTAGAAGTTTACCAACTCAGAGAATGAAATATGTCCCGGGCTGTGAGGCTCAAAATTACCCCAAGTGCCGGGCACAGATTATGAGAGCTGGCTGGCCCCGCCCGCCACCGCCCTGCTTAGCTACAACTCTGGCTCAAAGTATCTCAATCCCATGTACTTCAACAACTCAAAGTCACTATTCCGTGTGACCTCGAGCCAATATAATTTACATGGAGTCAAAATACACACGTACATATGTAGACCCTACTGGCAGCCTACCTCATCATTTATCTTATTACTTGAATTGGAGTTTTGCCAAAAGAATAATAAAATGGGTAATGCAAATGCTTATTGCCCAAAGCATGGAGGGTAAAAATACGATTGATTCAAGTCTATTGTAATGGAGAGTGGAGGCACCCTTTTTGCACTAAAGGTTTTTCAGCGCAGAAGAACTTATTTTGACTCCCCCCAAAATGGGCATTTTTACAGTTGTCTAAATGTACCTTCAGACACCTTTGGTAATTTCGAAATTGGCATACTGGAACCCAGCAACGGCTATACAAGGGCAGGGTAGCGTTAGAAATAACTGTTAAAGAGACAGATGGTAGGTAATGATAGACACGGTCAAGGAATATTTACAAATTTCAAACAAATTTCATCTTTTATTAACAATTGTCAAAACTTACAGAAACATGAAGAATTTTTCTCTCTGTATTAATAAAAGTTATCCTCAGGCCATAAGTGATTGATTACCTGGGGGAATATTGCCAATTGAGAACTCACTGGCAATGCAAAATTCATTCTGATGCTATGTGTTGTCGCGACGAGCCTACCATGCCATGCCTACTGCTTAGTACTGGGCCTTGGTTTTTCTTGGACCTAATCCTTATCACCGAAGCTGAAAATCATTGTTTGTGGAAAGGAAAAGGGGGCGAATGTTTGCTCCTTTTTCCTTTCCACAATGCCTTTCTCTCACTGTGCAAAATCACCCATCCAACATCCAACCATGTCCATGATAGAGAGTCCGGCACTTTTCAGGTTTTTTTGTTTGACGCCCACAAATTTAGTACTATTGGAAAGAGAATTTCAAAAGAAATTGAATGGTATAAAATTTAGCTCAATAGCTGTAAGTATAATAAGGTTATGGAGTTTTTGTTATTGAAATTAGGTGTAATTAGTCCGTCACTTTTTGGGGGTGGACACAAGTTTTATTTTCAACAATGCATATGAACCACATGGAGTCTTCTTCCTCATCGGTTCCACTTCCAGACATGCCAGACTAGAGTTGGACAAAGATCTGTAGTTAAGTCACAGAGGAAGTGTAAAGTAAACAGTATCTTTTTTATGGAGATCTTTATCGATAATAAACACAGGATACATGTACATGTATACAGTAACAGGTCAGTTGAGTTGGGCTTGAAATATTTAGTGATGTGTGAGAGATCACCGAAGCATAGTTTTGATGTGATATTTTTTATTCATCAATAAATAGCTACAAAAAATGAGGACCAAGTCTGTCAGGTGTCATTTTAAGTATGTTCGTGTTTGACAGGGTCTTTTGATAACATTTGATTGAAACAACATGTGTGGTTTATGCGCCTGTTATTTGCATCTTGCTCCCCGTGCACCATCCATAGATCTGATGCACATGCATACAGCATATGTGTACAGTTGTGCAACAGCACCCAAAAACATGTACAAAAGGGCTGTTCCGCACCGGTTCGACATCGATTTTTGACAAAAAAACAACTTCCTTTTCTTCCTGAAATTCTAAGCTTCCAAATAAACACCGTTTCATATATGTATCATCAACTCCTTACACATGTTTTGGGGGGATTTTCAACAGAAAAATGCACCTTTTTTGCTACCTTTTTGTAGTTTTCACAAACCAAAACAAGGCTTGATGGTGCTTTTGTCAAATGCCTCCAGTCATACATCAAATGAAAGAGTATTTTAAGCTCTACAAGATGATGACATCACCGTTCCAAACTCGGTTGAGTTTCACGAGAAATTAGGCTTAGACGAGACTGTGTCACACGACAACAAACAAAGATAGCCGCACACAGTTTTTGACGCAGTGCTCTGATCTTACATTATTTTCATCACACTTTACAACCAAAACTTGACACAAACAGACATAATAAATGGTACTAACACAAATTTCGGTTCATTTACAACACAACTACTTTTTCAAATATAGAATTTGACGCACAAGGGCAGAAATCATGGATTGAAAACAAACACTTTTACACGCTTCCAGATATAATTTTTATAAATTGTAGAGGTGCCGTTTCGCTGGACTCCCTATCCATGATTGGCCATGCCCCCCAAAAGTGCAAATGCCCTACACAGTCATTAGGCCCTTGTACTTGTTGTACACAATGTACAGTATACTCACATGCTACATCATAATCATACCTGATGTAACGTCACGACTGCCGACCAGGCCTAACTCGATCAACTTAACAATACCATATGAAACGTTTCGATTAAATAACACACCGATCATTGGTTTAAAAAAGGTCAGATAGAAAAATTCTATTTGCCAACTTACCATTTCAATATCGTCTGATCATGAAAAGTGGTGCACATTCGCAGAGGAAGGGGTTCTGCAATTCGTCAGTTACATGTACGTACGCAAACAAAATTTTAACCTTATTACCAGGAGCCCTGCTCTCGAGTGTACCTTGCACACGCATAATGATAAACTGGAGAGAAAACGAGAACGATGTTGTTTAGCGATCCAACTTGGGACAGTACAGAAGCCCAATTGAGAATAAAGTACGGTGCCTTTTAAAACCATTTTTAGCATCCTCAAGTAAAAAAATTAAACTCTGGGAAAAAAAAAACAGAAATAGAGACCCATAAAACTTTTGACGATATTTTTTGCGTCTCAAAGTCCCTTGGGGAGAACGTGACCATAGAGCAAGGGCCCATGCTGAGCCTCGGACTAAGGGTGTGGGTTCATATTGCCGATTGACCCAGAAAGCCCATGTGAAACATAAACAATACTGACAAAGAATTGTTACTTTGATAGTCAGCAGTCACAGAGATCAATGTATTGTTATTTATCCCAACTCTACAGAAGAAAACAATGATTCAAACAATGGAACTTACTTATACTAGACAAAGCGTATGTTTACATGCTATGCAAAATATGGATACGGCTGAACTCGCCCACGTACTACGTTCAAGCCTAGCTGATTTCTCATCCTGTTTGTCTAGTGCAAATCTAAGAAACCTGTCAGAACCGGTTTGGTCCAAGTTCAGGCCTTAACTTCTTCACCTCAACCCCGGCCGCCAAACACACTTGGGCCGTTTTCCAAGACTCAACTTCGGCTCCGTCTCAGGCTTCAACTGTTTTTTAACTAGCTGACGTTGAAGCTGTAAGCGCAGTAATTAGTTTGAGAGTGCCACAAAATATCAAAAAAGATGCAAGAGAGCCAGAAATTACAGTAATCCGATTTTATTTAAAAGCTTCAGGCCCACAATCGGGGATTGATTTTGGGAACGAAGCCTGAAACGGAGCCCAAGTCGAGAATTGGAAAAGGGCCTCGTTTTTGTTTGCCGTAGCGTATTCTGATTGGAAATTTTCCTAACCAATCAAGTTGATCAGATTTGTCTTACAAGATTATCACTCGAACTTCTGACCAATAGCAACTGCCTGTTAGGATAACATCACCTTCTTTCTGTCGTCTGATTCTTAATTCCAAAAAAGTAGGGAGTCAAGTTTCATTAAATTGGTATGATTTCGAAGAGTTCGAAAGTTTTCCTCATTTTGTTTAATTTGTCTTATCACTGACTTCGCTAATTTGTACAAAACCACTCTTAAAGATCACCTGAAAGACCAAAAAGCTTGAAAATGGTTGGAGCGGAGAAATACGACGACACCGATGTCCCCCAAGCACTGCAATGCGCGCACGAAAACTCCGTTGAATCTTATCACTCCTATCTCACTCCGCAGTTCATTTCCACCACGCGAGGACCTTCAAGAGTTTTGCTCCGCTGTGTCGCGCGCTGTTTCCTTCATGAACTGACTTTTAACGTGAATAAATGTTCGCCAAACGATCTTCCTCTTGTTTTGTGAACTGAGTGATTTTGCCTATCGCTTAAAGTAAAAGAAAAAATCACTTTTGATATCAGGACCCTCTGGTTGTTAACCGCATCATACCCCTGATAACGGCATCTTCTAACCGTAGGCCTACATGAATATCAAACTTCAAGTTTGCTTCCAACGCGGACGCTACTGCACGACCGAGCTGGCGGGCCGTGTTCAACATGCTCAAGGTCGGTGTCTAAACTTGAAACTTCCGACGACCTATAAGGAGTTTCCCTCAGTTTGAGATCTTCTGGTGCACCACAAGTAGGCCTACATCGTCTTCCATTTGTATGAAATGGAATTTAGGCTAAATTTGACTGGACTGGGCCTAATTATATAGGCCACGCCAAATGCAACAAATTGAAATTCACTGAACTCACGGAACTGAAAAGTCAGAACGTTTTTTAACTTATCTGGAATCTTGGGGGCTAAGATGCAAAGGGTAAGTCTGTATTACAATCATGAGAATGCAAGCCAGGTGAGTGAAATTTCTTTTGCTTTAATTTATTGTCGTAGATGTTGTTTTACATGTTTTTAGAAATCATATAGGCCTCTAGGGGCCTATTCTGAACACCATTAGCCTATATGGATGCCAAGCTTTGTGAGACGAAATTGTGAATTGGTGAATAGACCTAGGCCTACTCCTCCTGAAAACGCTACTCAGCGCTATTCTGTCACAGTCATCAGAGTTTACCAGGTTAAGGCCTAACCATGTGAACGTTTTTTTTTTCCGGGTTGAAAGAAGAAAGTTAGACCCTACCCTTCGCATGACTTGCAAAAACCACATATCAGTCCATACATGTTTTTACATGATGCCCGTGCCTTTGTATCCTTGTGAGAACGCTAAGCCAATTCGCATCAATAGTCCAGCGTGTCACGGCCGTTGACAACCGTGCGACCACGTGGGAATTGAAATAAAAGGAACACTGAGAGCCAAATGCTTTGAATATACATGTACTTTCAATGATCGACAGGCTGATGAACTGTTGCAAGAAAGAAATGTGGCCTATGACTGGGAAATGTTCAGCGACTATAAAACTTTGCTAGCACCTTGTTCGAAAAAAATGAGTGTGCCACAGTAGACAGTGGACTAAGAAATGTCCAGATACTGGATTTAAGCTTGTCAGTGATAAAGGAATTAATAGGCCAGCTTTTAAAATTTCATGCAAACCAGTTTCAACTGCTGCATATGTTTATTAATGATTCTTAGTGTTTCACGTCTGTTCAATACAAGGAGGTACCGGCTTATTTTTAAATTCATTTCACGTAATGCAAAGGTAGTGGAAACTGTGTTCATCTTTTCCTTCAAAAGTTGTCCTTGAAGTTTAAAAACTTTGATGGTGTGTGTCAAAATATTCTATAGAGCAAAATAACTACTCAACAGAATGCAGTCACGTACCTTTTCTCGCAATTTGCTCATAAGCATTCAGAGTACAAAACATCGTTTGAACTCGTAATCGAAGTTGAATAGGCCTGTTATCCAAAAATGAGTCGATTTACTAATTTTCCTGTCAAGTCCCAGTAAGATCCAAGCAGAAGTCCAAGTTAATTGGAGTTTAAAAAAATCAAAGGCACGTGTGTACGCCTACTTTCGCTGTTTGTTTTTGCTTTAATTTTTTTTCCCAAGTTTTTATTGTCTTTTTTTTTTTACTATGTACCACGTCACGAACGATCATCGGTCTATTTCAAATGAGTGGAAAACAAAAATGTAGGCTGAGGGAGTGAGAGAATTAGCCGCCCATGCATAGCCTGTGCCTGAATAACAGAATATACACGAATATTTACCAACCTCATAAGCGTCTTAAAATCTGGAAAAAAAATCACCCAAGCTCGCTGTAATATGAATAGGACGCATAGTTTCTTTGTCTTATGGTCCAGGTGTGATTCCGGCAAAGGTATTTATGAAAAGAGTTCAGTCTTAGTTTGTGCAGGAAAGTATTGATTTGTGTCTGCCTCTGACGCAGGGAACACCATCACATTTTAACAAGAAGGAATCCACCACAGACCTCAGGTCAATTTTAGACAGTGCACTAACAGCTGCACTGGAAGTGGGCTCAAACATGTATATTTCTTGGACAAAACAGCACTGAATAATGGCTTATTGTTGGTGAAGGCTCAATGGGAAGTATTGGTGTAAAGTTTTTGCTGAATAGGAAAACTTGAATTTAGTAAACGTCTCATGATTAATAAAAACATATCCAGTTTATAATTGTATTGAAAAATTGTTTCTAGTAAAATATGTAAATTTAAATTTGTCACAAGAATTGTTAATCTTGGTTGAACTTTGATTTTTGTTGTTGTTGAGAAGACCGTGAAAAAGGGAAGTCACACTTGAACAAAAAAAAAACAAGATTAGCACTGTGCATCTTATATATATTGCCCTGTGTGTGGTCTTTTTTTAATGATTATTTTGCCACCCTTTGTTCCTTCTGAATAAAATGAAAAAAATGTAAGGAACTCCCATGGCAGATTACAAGTGATGTTTGAACTTGAAAAATAAAGTGTTTATTGTTACATTGCAATGAGTAAAATAAAATTGCAAATCCCTAAACAATTTGCGAATGATATGACACGTATATGTGATAAAATAATATAAAATTAGAAAAACAAAGGTATAATAATAGAGTGTTATGAAAAGCAATGTGATATGAACTGCAAAATCACTGGTTTAATAACACAGAGTGATATGTGAACAAGACGATACATGACGAAGTGGCGAAATGAAATAAAATTGAAAATCCCTGAACAATTCCGAAACGACACGACACATGAATGTGATAAAATGAAACTGCAAAAACCTTTGTGTAATACCAGAATGATATGCGAACAGTATGACGCGTGAACTGCAAAATCACTTTTATCATAACACACAACGAAACATGACATTACAATACTGGAATGCGGTGTAATGAAATAACATTTTAAAACCCTGAAGGTTTCGTGGACAAAATGACACGTGAATATGATGTAATAAAATATATTTGAAAAAAACCTGTGTAATGATAGAATGATGCGGGAACAATGTAATACATGAACTGCAAAATCAGTGCACTGGTGTAGTACCACAGAGCGAAACGTGAAAGAGACAATATGTGATCAAGTGACAGAATGAAATAAAATTGAAAATCCCTGAATGATTCAGGAACAATACGACATGTTAATGTGATGAAATGAAATTAGGAAAACAACCTTGTGTAATAGCAGAATGATATGATGTGTTAACTGCAAAATCACTGGCATCATAACACACAGTGATACATAAATGTTACGATATGTGAATGTGACGAAATGAAGTACAATTGAAAATCCCTGAATGTTTCGTGAATGATAGGACATGTGTGAATGTGATAAAATAAAATAAAATTGGACAAAAAAATTGTGTAATAATAGAACGACATGCAAACAACGTAATACGTGAACTGCAAATATTAGTGGTGTAATAACACAGAGCGATACGTGAACTAGACGATACGTGATGAAGCGAGGAAATGAAATAAAATTGAAAATCCCTGAACGATTCAGGAACAATATGACG